GCGTTCAAAATGAGAACTCATAGACTCACATGCATAATTAACTCAATTGGAAATAGCACAGAAACAAATAACGTCAACACGATAGGTTGTAAACCTCAACTCGTGTGCTAGTGATGATCGATAAGGTTTATTTGATTTGTTCTGAAACTTTCAAGACCATTAGACTCCCACTGACTCCTGACATAAGATTCTTGTCAATAAACAATTCTTGACAACAAATATTCAAGAGTTAGTGTAGTTTTTATCAAAACACATTCATAAATTGGTCCTAGTCGGTCTTTGTCTTATCCAAGACATCACAACTTTCCACATTTGATGAATGTTATAACCTTTAATACTTTTACTCATTGTCACAATCTTAACTTTAAGACTTGTTATTGGAACGAAGTATGATGACTTTTGATTTAACCATTTCTTCAATCCTGATTCCTCTTCTTAAACATACAATTGTACTAAGACTTACTTAGAGGATCAATTGAGATATGGTTCTTAATCATTAAGACCTATCATAAGCATAAAAGGTACTCTCCCTTCTTCTTAGAATGGAGAAACTTTTATCTTTCTGCCTACTTGATTCTTATTCGTTTTGCTATTGATTAAACCCTTTAATCAATTCGAATTATACTTAATCTTGTAAGTGTAATCATATTTACTAAGCCTTTAGTAAATCATGACGAATATCTTTGTTACTCTTATGGTGAACTTGATCAACACACAACTTTGTGTACTCGATCTCCTAGTCCTTCACTTGATACTTTGTCAACGAATTTGTCTAATTTCCAAAATATGAAATTTCTCATTCATCATGCAACCAAGTTGCGTGATTCCAAATTTCAGTCCAATTGAAACTTGGGCGATGAGAAACTCTCCCTATTTGGTAAATTCTCGACATTTCCATAAATAACATAACTAAGAATCATATCCATTCGTTGTAGAAATATGCAAACATCAATTTTCATAACGATTTCATTGCAAGGAAGTAAACAAATAAATAAATAAGTCAAACAAAATTTATTTTATTTATAAAAGCAGCGGAAAAACATTTGTCCTTACAATGCAAAATCTATTGAAAACTATGTAAAAGGAAAATTTCTACATATAACTATCTAAGCTCAAAATCCAATTTCAAGTCCATGCGATCGAGATCCATCTCTTGTGATTAGATTCATCTTGCTCTCTTATCAAGCTTCCTTTCTTTTCACCGATCCTGCAAAACATTCAAATGCAATCTTATCACATCATGTATTAAGAATCAATGAATAGGAACTTAACGGAGTTAGATAGTGGATTTTACCTGAAGCGTAGTCATACTTTTGACTCTCCCATCTCTTAGATCTCTTAGGTAAATAGGGCAACTTCGTCTCCAATGCCCCTTCTCTTGGCAATAAAAGCAAATTGACTCTTTTGGAACAACACATAGAACTACTTCAGACATCGCCTTTCTCTTATGATCAAACTTTTCGATCATTGCTTGTCTTTCATTGCTATTGTCTATATCCATAGAGGTCTTGAAGGCAGATTCACCAATCAACTTTGCTTTTCTATTGCGCCAAACCATTGCTGATTCAGCAGCAATAAGCATATAGGTGAGATCAATACGGGTCACGTCGTGTTCATCATATAGTACTCTCTTACGAACTCACTATACGAGTTAGGAAGTGACTGAAGAACCCAATCAACAGCCATCTCTTCACCGACAACGGATCCCATCATACTTAACTTATCAATGTGTGACTTCATCCCTAAGACGTGTGCACACACCGACTTTCCTTCTTTATGTTTACTTGCCAAAAGGGCTTGAGTGGTATTGAACCTTTAAATTTTACAATCTTGTGGGTTAGGGAGAATAATTGGAGGAGGAGGAGGAAGAAGTGAAGCATGATTTCTTGTTCCTCGATCGAATCGTGGAATATCATCTTCATGTGGAATGTTTGTTCCACGGGATTTGGGAAGACCATACTTGTCGAACTTTGACATCTACAAAACGGGAGAAACAAATTCAAGTTAGTTGATTGATTGATTGAGTCCTTAGTAAATCACCCAAATTAGATACTAAGGCTAGGACCCAACACAATACGCTACAACCTAGAAAAGGGATGCCGTAATCTAGTTGCAGAATATTTGAAGGTAAGTGAATGACGATTCACTAATTTCCACCATGAAAAACGAAAAAGAAATTTAAGTTTTAAATCTATGAAAAATCCTAGATCCTTTGAGATTCATTGAACAATTTCAATGGCATGTTTAAATCTCGATATGCCCCTCTTGTTTGTGACTGGGATGCCGAGGATCACAAAGCGGGTGTGAATAACCATGCAAACTTACATGGTGCCCTCACATGTTACAATCACCTATTCGATGTGCTGGTAAACCACACACGCTCCACCGAACTATGACAAACATTGAGGCACCCTTTACTACCTTTGCTTAGAACCATTTAGTGTGCCGATAAACCACACACGCTCCACTAACGTCTTCGCAAGGGCACAAAGTGTAATTTCATGGAATTGCATCAATTCACTTTGCCTAAGTAACTAAGATTGGGAATTTGAAAAACATTTAGTTACTTTGTATTTCATTATACTTATAATGGAAGGTTTCATCCTATCCTACCCGTTCGGCTAACGACCCTCCACTAGTCAAGAGTGCGGTGGGTAAGAGTGGATACCCATTCAATCGCCATTTTATAGGCAATTTCCTTAAACATCCCTTATAGACCAACTTCGTGAATGAGGCCTACTAACGGTAAGACTGACTTTTACTCATACAAATATATAATGTTAGACTTTTAATGTTATATATAGCATAGGGTGTATTTTATACTTTTAAAATACTATGTGGTTAACTTTAACAATTATACTTTTAATTCAATTGTAAACCAAAACTTTATGGATTTATTAAACCTTTTTTAATTATACTCCTTAATTAATTAATAAAACCATAAGGGTGTGATTTGAACTTTTCAAAACATTTATAGGGTTTTAGAATTTAACATTCCTAATTAACTTTTAATCAACTTTTAAATTCCAAAACTTGAGGGCAAGTTTTGAAACCTTTTTCTAAACATTAGGGTTTTAACTATTTAAATTTCAAAACTTCAAAACTTTTGGGTTCAAATTTAAACTATAAAACCTAAAGGGGAAAATATGAAACCTTTCATAACAACAAGGATCAAATAACAAATAATTTTAAATTAACATTTAATCACATAATTATCCATATTTGATTTATTTAATGATTTCTTGCAAAACAATTTATCAATTTACTCAAAATAATTAATCAATTATCTTATAAGGAAACAATTATCTTATTAATTGATAAATATCTTCATTTACATCAAAAATATAGTCAAATATATCATATAATCGGATTAATATTGATCTAACAAGATAAGGTAACTATCCATATGCAAAAACAGCCCGAAATCCCGAGATAAGCATTATCTGACGAGTTGACTCGTCGAGTCAAGCCTGGACTCGTCGAGTCTGCATGGACTCGGCGAGTTCAGCTATGGACTCGGCGAGTCCAGCCTCCATAAGCCAAAAAATCAAACTTTTCAAACATATAATGCATCAATACAATAGAAACCATCCTAGGCTCTGATACCACTGATGGGTTTTGGTCATAAGACATCCTATGTGCTCATACAAACCCTAATGCTTGGATCTAGGTTTCTCTATTGTACATGCTTTGAAGCAAAGACCATAAACCCTAATTCTAGCATATGGAAATCGATATTAACATATAATTAGGTTTAAGTTATTACCTTGATTGTTATGTAGCAATAACAATCCCAAATCTCCTTGAATTGACTTTGGAATGCTTAGAGTCACAAGTGTCACTCCTCTAATGGCTTAGAAACACCATGAGCAAATGGAGAAGGTATAAAGGGAAAGGAAAGAGGTTAGAATTCGTCCTTAGGACTTCTTGGGAAGGGATACACGAATTCATGAGCCTTAGGGCCTTTATATAGGTGTAGAGATAGGGTTTCAGTCATTATCCTTATCTAGTTGCTTATCCACAAAGCAACCAATAAGATAATCCTTGAATCCTTATCATAGTCGAATTCTAAGGCCTTATCACCTTAAATTCGTCCAACCTAATAATAAGATAATCCTTACCTTATTTTGTAACTATCACATAATTACAATTCAGCCCCTCTAGTTTAATTAATTACACTTGATCACAAAATTAATTCTTAATTAATTATTGACCAATATTAATTAGACAAATATGATTTCTCGTTTAATATATTATTCTTATAACATATTAATAAATCATATTATCCTCTCTCTATATATATTTCTCCAATCAAGTTGCTTTGGTGAAGGCAACCAAAAAGGACCATGCACCATCGGGTCAAGTACATACCAAAATAGTTATGGACTTAGACACTAATCCAACATTCTTGACCTTTGAAAGCTTGAGCACCTTAAGCGTGATGCCTCTAATGGTTCACAAACACCAATATGCAAGGTTCTAAGAGAATAAGTTACTTGTCTTTCTTGAAGGTGCAACCAATTTTTGAGCATGGAGGGGGCTATTTAAAGTTGTGGCAAGTGCTAGGGTCACACTTTGTAAACCCTAATGATCCATGACTTTCCACATTCCTATGATCCATGGGTTTAACTTCCA